AACATTTGCTTACTCATAGCTGAGAGTAATGTAAGCCCTTGTTTGTGTTAGACCTTCACGCAGCCACAGAAGAAGAATGTAAAATATGCTCCTTTCCAGGGCTGGCAACTTTTGGGTCAGTGGCTTTTTTCAAATTAACTGTATGAGGGAATGGTGATTGTAAAAAAAGGAAAAGAGTGGAAGAGTGGAAGAAAACAGTGCTGCGCTTCCCCTGCATCCCTCCTTGGTCAGAGCATTTACAGAACTCAGCCCACTGACTCTAACCACATGTTGGCCCTTAATCAGCTTGAATCGACGACTTCTTACCCTGCTTGGTGGCTTTTCAGGTCCGTTTTCAACATTGGTACCCCAGCTTTTGGAGCAAGGGTTAGCTCCAGGTCTCTCCCTCACCACGGTGGTGACTTAGGGAAGATGCTGATACCCAGCATATCCAGAGCTGATATGCTCTGTCACAGCTCAGTTTTCACATCCACCTGAACAAGACTAGAAGCACTAGTGTTTTAACACTATTAAACCTCTGTCTGGAGAAGCAAATGGAGAACTGCTTGATCTGCAAAAGCTGGTGTGCCTCTAGGAAAATAGCAAAGACACAGAAGTCCTGAGTACTCCCTTGATTTACGCTTCTTTATTGACCCTTTTTTCATTTTCAAAGCTTCTATCTCACCTGGTACTTGCCAAAACAAAAGCAGCCATGCTGCTTGTTGAAGCAGTCAGCACGACAGCCAGGAGCACTCAGTGGGACAGCTGGAGTGGGAAGTCTGAGAAGTGAATCAGAAGGTCTTTATAATGCAAAACTTTTTTGCCAGCAGGAAAGGAAGGTGCCACTTTTAGTCCTCAATTATGTTAGCTTTGTCGAAATGAAAGTAGCTCCCAGGGTACAGAAATAAAACAGAATAGACAGCCAATTAAAGAAAGGAGTGGGGGAGAGAACCAGGCTGAAGAGGAGGAATGCATTTGCAGGGAACTGGGAGTTTTTCCCTCAAGAAAAGTGCATTGAAATAAAAGAAGTTAAAAAAAAAAGGAGTTTGCTGTTGTGAAGCATACCAGTGTAGTGGGCTAGTAATAGAAATCATTGATTTATTCACACTAAAATAGAGCCTGAGAATTGCAGAAGGGCTCCTGTAACCTCATTGATGTTATCCTTAAATCTCAGTGATGTCTCTCCCTATGGGGGCTACTGCCTGTATTCCATGTGACTTGATAAAATGGAAAAATGAGTTAGATTTCTGCTTTTAAGTAGCTCTAACGTCTGGTACAGAAAATACCAAGCTGTTGCATTTTATTTGGGTCCAAAGACTGTTTGGGTCTGCTTTTCTCTGGGACATCAGTGGGAGCTTTCCTCTTGGAGTATGTTTAGAAAAGACCCTTTGGCTCCCGTAGTAGAGTTCAGTGCCATTTCCAGTTGCACACTGCCCCCTGATTACAGAGTACTGATAAATATCCTGAGAGTTTGTCGGTAGATACAATGGTCTGCAGCACCCTTCTACACCAGCTGCTTCTCTGGGTGATGCTAGGTGCTGCTTAGGGAGGTACCCAGGAGGGATGGCGGCATTTGGCATTAGGACATCCTGCTGATTTAATCTCTGCCTACCTCCCATTAGAATATTGCAGTGTGTCAGACCAGGGGAAATGAGCCTTTGGGTTTCCCCCATGGGGACCCTGGGTGATCACGGTGGGAGTGAACAGAGGATGCAGGTTAGTGAACTGCTGCGCCACGTGCTGGCAGCCGGGTCTGGGTTCCCACTCCTAGTTTTGGTGGTACCTTCTCAAGTGCCACTGATGGCCTCCATAGGCCACAGTCGGCTTTGCATGAAACGTTCCTGCCTGAGCTGGTCCTTTTAGTTGCATTTCTTCAGTGCGTCTTGACGACTATCCTCTTTGTGGAGAGTATCCTGAATTCTGGTCCTATTTTGGTACCGTGACCCTCAACTCAACTGGTTCTAGAGTTTCTAGTGACCCTCATGAAACTCTTTGCTTCAGGGGTTTTTAATTTTTGCCTGCAGCAGAAGCTAAACCCACTACCGACAGACAGTGCTTAATTCCACCATGGGCATTTTTTTTCCAAAACATGTGACAGTAATTCTGGTTTGTGCAGCGCCATCCATCTTAAGCAGAACAAACATCCCATGCAGCTTTCTCACACATGGAGAATGACGGCGGATTTTGGCACATAGCATCTGCTGCATTTTCCGTGGCTGCAGATCTCTGTCACAGTGGGAGGCCCTGGAGCCTCCCAGGTCCCCTTGTACTTTCCGGCCATTCTGTGACCCTGCTCTTGAGGTATCAGTATCACACCAGCATGGGAAGGTAAACCCTGGGATGGTTCTGGATGAAGACCTGCAAAATTCATGGCACCCCCACAGGGCTTTTAGCTTTTGACCTGCAATTATTTTAATTAATAATAATTTTAAGGCATTATTCATCATCAAAGGCTGATCAGACTTGATTTTTGTCCCACGCTGGGATCATCTGTTGGTGATGATTGCTTTCTATTATTTTTTTCTGATGCAGACAGCATGAGTTGGGCCCTGCACACTTTAGAAGCCTTTGGAAAATGCTGTGTATTTGTGTTTCAGCTGTGCAATATCTTTAATTGCCAAGTGAGGTATTCCAAAATCAGTGTTCCAGCTACCTGGGAAGGGAGTGACACCACCTGTCATTCCCGTGCATGGCATTTGGGTTAAAGTGGAGATTTGGTTAAATAATGCAAAATTTGGGCTGTCAATTGTGAGAGGAGCAGAGCTCCCACGATTCTAGAGATGGAATGTGCCAGAGGCAGGTCAGGATGGGGGGAGGGGCTGTGCTGAACCCCCCCCTGAATTTCTCTCCCGTGCTTGGAGATCTACAACTATTTTCCTTGGCAGTAGCAGCTGAGATACTGCCAACAATAAAGCCAGCAGCTCTGCCCCCATAAAATGCTGGAGACAGTACATTAAACCCTACCAAGGCAGTTTTACTACTGCGTATCTCTTGGCTTCATAAATGTATATTAGAGAAGCCATTTTATACATTAATGGGATTATTTCACAAGACACAGAGAAGTAACAGAGCCCTTTTATCACTGGAGTTGTGGTAAATAGTCTTAGGACTAATTATTAATTACTGATAATAATTGGGAGCACTTTCCCAAGGGAAGCTGTTACACAGGCTTGTTGCAATGTCTTACTGACAAATGTTGATGTGTTTTCTTGAAAAACGTGGGTTTAAGGCCATCAGCCGATGATTCCCTCAGCTGCATGGCTGTAACAGATGTGTATTTTTAAATGAAAATTTGTGAGGGTTATGCTACCCTGCAAAATGACACAACTAAAAAAGAGACCCTCTGGAAGATAAAGGTGTGCATACAGGAAATACCAGTTCCTACAGGAAGAAAGGCTGCTGGCTCTGAAGGAAAAATGAATGGGAATGAACCCTCAAACTCTTCTGTGCAACCCCATGAGATGTCAGGCAATGAGGGGATAATGGTGAGAGAGTGGGACATGATAGGCAGCTAGGATATGGGAGGTCCTAGTTTTTACCTCTGGTTGAGCCTTCATCCCCTCACCCCTGTAGTTAAAAGCTCCTTAATCACAGTTTCCTCAACAAATTGGCCCTCCAAAATAGGTTAGAAATGAGCTTATAACCAGCAGCCCTGACAGGGTCAAAAGAGAGGGTGTTGAGCAACAGGGCACCAGCTACTCCCTACAATGGTCTCTCTTGCCCCCAAGGACAGTGGCAATGATCTTTGCCAGCAGTGACCAGAGCAGCCTGGCCATGCAGAGTGACTTCAACGAGAAACCTTGCTGGAGTGCCTTGAGAGCATTGTGTTAACCTGCTGAATTATGGAAAAAAGAGGAAAATGCTGGGGTGTGTGGGTGTGGGGGTGTGTGTGTGCTTCTCCTGACCCCCCCCCCCCCCCCCCCCCCCAGCCCCCCATGCCCTATTTATTTAGTAGTGTAATAGTCACTGGAAGTTGAAATAACAGGACTGATTGTTTTCTTTCTTTACAGCAGCCTGGTCTGGGTTATGGCCACTTTTGGAGCACTTTTGGAATAATTTTGCTTCTTGTGACGGCTCATTCAGGGAGTTGCTCTGGATTTTACCCTCTGGCAGATGGTTTGCATTCCGTCTTAGGAAAAGCATATTTCACAAAATAATTACTTCTGTAGCTCTTTGCATGTTCTCAGTTGAAGATGCTGCCCTAAAGCCAGTGCAACATCTGAGCATGGATGTTAAGGGCTCCAGTATGCAGCTCTTGCCTGGCCATCTTGGAGGATGCAATATGCTGTAGGTTTGCACCACCAAAGGCCAAATATGGCTACAAGAGAGCTCCTGAGAAATGACAAAAGTTGAAAGACAGAGTGAGGTTGGGGGGGGCTTTCTGCCTTTTACCCCTTGACTGGAGACCCACTCTCCATCCCCTGCAACTGATGGGCTCACAGGGAGCTTCCCACCCCTACCACCACTTTGGGCAAAGGCATTTTTCTCCCCAGTGCCTACAAGTGATTAATCACAGCAATAAGGTGCTGTACAAGGAGAGGTAAGGTGACCAGAAGAGCTTATCCTCATCTCCTGTGTTGGGCAGTCTGAACTTTGAGCCAGTTCACCTACAGGTACACAGAACTTAAAATGAAGCTGCTCAAGGCTTTTTTTTAATCTCTTCAGATGGGTTCAGACTCCAGATACAAAACTTCCTGCTCTCACCAACAAGCAAGTGCCAGGAAGGTTTCTGTTGCTGCTCATCCCTAGCTCACATCTCCTCACATTGGCACAAGGCTGCCAAAACACCTGACTGTGGAAGGAAAGTGGCTTATATTTTAAGGAGATCCAAAAGGTTGTAAAAGGAAGAAAAATAGTAATGCAAATGCAGGCCTTCTGACTGCTCCACAGGACATAGGATCATTAAAAAAGGTGCAAAGTAAAACAACTGTTCGTGAGAAAAAAAATGACTGTTCAAAGTCATTCTCATTTTCTTTCCTTCTCTGATCCTCTCTCATTTTCCCTCCCACCACTCCTCCTGATTGCTCTTGAAATAGCCATAGCACCTCTTTTTTATTCAATAGAGGAGAGGCAAAGACACTCCAGAGCATTCTACTGTGTCGGTGCCATGAAACATGGCCCTGATGACAGGAGAGCCTTTTCCTGCTCTATGTGCACAAATGCACTGATGTCTGGGATTATTCTGGAAGCAGCTGAATAACTTGTTAGGCCATAACTGCCTTCATTGAGCATACAATGCCAGCTGCTCTGCCAGCTAGGACTGGGAGGCAGCTCCTTTTGGGCTGAGTGAACTGCATTAGGGTGATCCAGCTGATTTTGGCAGAAATATTGGCTACAGCTGCTTCAGGTCCAGCTGCAAATGGCCTATCCAGCAAGCAGGAGCAATGCCCCTCCTTTAAAAGCCCCAGAGCCTACAACTAGGCAGGTATGGCAGCTTGGCTCTTTAGTATTTTTTTAGTCTATTGGGTAGAAGTTGCTGAAAGTTTGTTTTTTAAAAAAACGGAGCAACTTCTTTTTTTTTTCTTTTGTGCCTTACATTGGTTTACAGGTGCCTGCGTATGCCCTTCTGCTGGTCAGCCATCCTCTCTGACCAAGTCTTATGTAGAGAACATGTAGTGGAGTGTTTAACTTCATCAGGAAAGCAGCTCCATGAGGCACAAACTGCAGTACTCAAATAAGAAAGCGCCCTATCACAGATGTGTACTTTCTGGCAAAGGTGAGATCTTCCCATATCCTGTTCATCTCCCCTTCATGCTCCATCTGCTTCATCAAAGTCTTCCTTGCGTTTGTTTTTGTTGCAGACCAGTCAAACACAAAAGAGAAGCTATAAAGCAAAATAACTCCTTTTCTATTTCATGCTATTTATTTTTCATCTTATGACAAATACAACTTTATGTTGGCTTTTCTAGATGGTAACATCAGGCTGGTTCATTTAGACAAGGTTTTTTTTTATTTATTTTTTAAATTATTTTTATGTAGGTATTTAGAGGGGGATTCCTCTTTAAAATCCACCAGGAGGAAATCTGTGAAGATTGGATGGTGCATGGGGGAAAAGCTGATGTTGGTCCTCGTGTATGAAATGCATGTCCTTGCTCTGCTTCTTGTAGAAGGGAAGTTGAAGGAGCTGCTGTCACCTTGAGAATTCAGTTCGTGACTAAAGCAAGTAAGCGATTAGTATGGCTGGGAATTGCTGGGAAAAGCATGTGTTTCCTGGGGGAAAGTTGAGGGAGCTGCTTCAGCTCTGCCAGCGCTTGCAGCAGGATTTCCAAGTCGGTGTCAGCGACAGAAACTCTGGAGGGAGCTGCAGTGCAGTGTTAGCACACCTTCCCCCCCCCCTCCCTTTTAGCCAAAATTGAGCTTTAAAGAGGTGGTGTTGGTGTTGGCCTTTTGAAAGTGGATTTATTTTTGAGTGATACGAAAGGAAATTGGTTTGGTTATCTCTGTTTCCAGAAGCTGCAAATGCAGGAACTTAAGTGGTTGCATGCATTATTAACCTGTGCCTTTGCTGGTCAAATTTGAGTGTTTTTCATCAGTGTTATGAAGTTCTGGGTTCTGTGCTGGATATCCCCTTCCTCTGCAATACAGGTGGATAAAACTACAAGATATAGACACCAGCTGTGGAAACCAAAACAACCAAATAATTTTCATGGCTTTTGAGTGTTGTTGCTCTTTTTTGAGATGGTGGTTACAGAAGGGGATGGGTAAACTGAGACATAAACCCCTGAAATGTATGTGTTTAAAACCAAAACTGACAAAAGAGAGCACTTAGATGTGTATAAACTACAGGCAGGACATTTTTTGTTGGCAAAAGACTGCTGAGAAGCAAAGCTGTCCAACCTCAAACCTAGGGTTAGAATCATTAAAGAAAAGCCTTATCAAAGGCTGACCTGGAGTTTATGTGGTTTTCCTTACCTGTAGGAGTTATCCCTGGCCCTGGAGGCTGCTGAGCCATGCAGGTATTTCAGGTGTAGTGCAAGGACAGCCTGATCAGCAGCTCCTGTTTTGTGCTGTTTTTGGGAGCTGTTTCTTCCAAGGTGTTCTGTCCGCTCAGCAAGGCTTTTATTTCCTCATGAGTGAGGGAATAATTTAGGCAGTTCCTCACACCTGAGCCTGTGTGAGGACCTGGGCTGAGCTTAGGAGCCCTGGTTCAAGTCAGAAGCGCCTCGTGGTTAGAAACGTGTTATTTATTCTGGTGAAGCTGTGCTCGGTTTCACCGGAGACCTTTTCAGTAAGAATTATTACTTTATTCTGAAGGGAAATCCCCGTTTGGGGAAGGTGTTTGCAGCTGGAGCAGTGGCGAAGCCGGCGAGAGGCTGGCAGGCACTACCGACCTCTTGCTGTGCCCCCGGCTCCCCCGCCCCGGCTGAACGACCAGCTCGCGGCTCTGCAGCGCTGTGTTTGCCACGAAAACAAACGCAGATTGCGCTGTCGGGTTTTGGTTTCAAACCGGGGCACAGCGATCGGATCCTCGGCCCCTGTCCCGCCACCGGTGGCCCGTCTCGACCTCACAGCTCCTGCCCCGGCCAGGAACTGACAGCAGTGGGAGTGATCCCGTTGACAGTAAGGTGAGGGCTCAGTTCCTCGTGTTGATCCGCAGGCCAAGTACAGGCATACTTTATCGCCTCCTTCCTGGCTATCATCTGTCGCTGGAGACTAAGGAAGGTCAAGCACGGGTAAAATTAGGGTTCGGACTGTGAGCGAGCTACTGCCCTCATGGCCTTTCATCCTGAAACAGTATCAGGTGAGACGACGTCTTGCAGAAGCAAAGATTCCCAAATATTGGTGGGTACTGCAACGACTAAGAAATAGTGCTTCAGGTCTGTACTGAGATGGGGCAAGAAAAGCCCTCACCCTTTGTTCTTAAAAATCTTAAGTCTTTGTTTTAGTGTCATCTCAATTTGAGTTCTTTTTTTTTTCAGTTAGAAAGAAGTGTTTCTGCAGCATATCAGTTTAATGATAATGAACAGTGGTGTAGCGCTAGATGTCAGTAGTGCTTCACCAGTTTCTGTATCAGACCTTACATGCTTTATTTGCTCCTGGCTTTTGGCATATGATGCCCTCCCCTTATTCCGTGTTTTCCAGAATAAACATATACAAATATGCTGTCCTTCAAAATACATTTTCTCTTTGCTGTCCTTGGTGAATAACCATCTTAGGTCACCAATTTACAAAAAGGACATGTTTTCTGACATTTCAGTAGGTCATGCATAGGCTTTTTTGCTCTTAGTGTTCAATTTATAAAAGTTGCATCTGGGTTTGTAACTTGGCAAATATCCTTGCTATGTTGTTCCTCCAGCAGATGTCATGGGGGAATTCATCCATGCTGACATCTGCTGGAGGAACAGCACAGCAAGGAACAAACAATCCAGGAGGTTCCTGGGAAAGATTAATGGTAACTTTCTGACACAGGTGATGGAGGAGCCAACGAAGAAAGATGTGCTGTTGGACCTTATACTAACAAGCAAGGAGGGACTGGTTGGGGATGTGAGGATAAGTGGTAGCCTAGGTTAGAGTGACCATGAGATACTGGAGTTCAGCATCATCCAAGGAGGAAGCAGGCCAATAAGATGTCAACCCTGGACTTCAGGAAAGCTAACTTTGGCCTCTTCAGGGGCATTTTTGGAAGAATCCCATGTGAACAGGCACTAGAAAGAAGAGAGGTCCAGGAGAGCTGGTTCATATTCAGGGATCACTTTTTTTCAGGCTCAAGAACGCTGCATCCCCATGGGTAAGAAATCAATCAAAGGGGGAGGGAGACCTGCATGGCTGAAAAGTCGGACACAAGCAGAAGATGTACAGCAAGTGGAATCAAGGACAGGCTGCTTGTATGAATATAACATGTTGTCAGAGTATGCTGAAATGTAATGAGGAAAGCCAAGGCCCATTTGGAATGATATCTGGCCAAGGATTTCAAGGACAAGGACTTCTTCGGATGCATCAATAATAAGAGGAAAACTATGGAAAATGTGGGCCCACTACTGAATGGAGCAGGGACCCTTGTGATAGAGGACACAGAGAAAGCAGAGATTCTGAATGCTTTCTTTGCTTCAGTCTTCAATGCCAAGGCCAGTCCCCAGTAGTCCCTGACCCAAGACACAAGGGATAAGATCTGGAGAAAGGAAGTCTTTTCTTTGGTTGAGGAGGATGAGTTAGAGATCATTTAGACAAACCTGACTTCCACAAGTCCATGGGCCCTGACTGATGCACCCCCAAGTGCTGAGGGAGCTGGTGGGCATCACTGCTAGACCACTCTCGATCACCTATGAAAGGTCATGGCAATCAGGAGAGGTGTCTGAGGACTGGAAGAAAGCAAATGTTACCTGAGCCTTCAAAAAGGGCAACAATGAGGACCCTGGGAACTACAAGGCAGACAGCTTCACCTCAGTCCCTGCAAAGACAATAGAACAGCTCATCCTGGAGGTCATCTCGAAGCATGTGGAAGACAAGAAGACGATCAGGAGTAGTCAGCATCGATTCACCAAAGGGAAATCATGCTTACTTAACCAACCTGATTGCCTCCTACAATGGGATGACTGGCTGGATAGAAGAGGCATTGAATATTGTTTATGTGGATTTCAGCAAGGCTTTCAGCACTGTCTTGTATGGCATCCTTGTACAGAAGCTCAGGAAGTGTGGGCTGGATGAGTGAACGATGGTGAGATGGAATGAGAACAGGCTGAATGGCAGGTCTCAGAGGGTTGTGGTCAGTGGTGCAGTCTAGTTGGAAACCTGTAGCTAGTGCTGTCCCAAGGGTCAATGTTGGGTCTGGTATTGTTTAACAGCAGCCTTGGACACAACTCCAGGGAAGGCTGTCCTGCATGAGGAACTTCTTATTTTTAACAGTATTAGTAAATCAAGAAGCAAATAAGTTCTGTGTAAGGGAATGTTGCTTTTTAAAGAAGTGTTATCACCATATATTCCCCAGCTGTGCAATGTAGGTATGCACATCTTGTCTACACTCCTTACGCTATCAGTTTAAAGATAGAAAACAAGAGCTGCAATATTTGCTTTTGTGGCATCTCTGTGCCTTCCTTTTGGGAGCTGTGTTTTTATGATCAGCTACAACTGTCACACCAAGTCAGCCAGCCTGGAGAGTAAGTTTCCTTCTAGTGAAATATGCGTGATCAAAATATGACCTTTTAATTCATTCTTTTTCTGAGATTTCTTTTTAAAATAGTGTTTCTGTGTACTAGGCTTGCTTTAGTCTTCTGACTTTGCAGGCTAATTTCTTTGTGCTTAGTTTGAGTTGACACTGTTACATTCCATACAGGGTCAGACTTGTGCAAAACCACTAGGATGTTTGTGCTATGTGGGAGAGCATAGTGTTCTCCATGGCAGTCTCGGGTTAAAGAGTAATTCATCCAGAGCTGGATATTTCTCCTTCATGAAGCAGCTTAAGGCATCCTCAGGAAATATTTCTTTAAGAACAGAAATAATTCATGTGAACACGATGTGAGATGTCTTCAGAAGCCCCTTAGCAACAGATTAACTTTTTCAGCAACTTTAGTGCATAAAATATTTTATCGGTACTTGGTCACTAGGGTATGAGACAGTTTCTGTGGACAAAATTCATATGTTCCAATTGCTCCAAGTCAAAATAAGTAAAACCTAACAGAAATTACTTAATTATTTACTTTTAGGCTATTGGTTCCTGAGTGTGGCTACATCCAGTAATGTTATAAAAATGTGTTCATCTGGTATTGTTTTGCAGGAGATGGTTTTACACTGAATTTTGCAAGCATGGGGCTTCCTTCTGCTTTGCAGGCAACTCTCAGAGAACTAAAGCGAAGATTAAGAATGCAGATGTATGTCTAGAAAGTAAAGGTGACAGGCAGAGAAACTACAAGAAAACTTCTTTCCTAGGGAAGCTTGGCAAAGGCTGTTATGTGGTAGGAAAGAATCCAAAGGAGGTTAACAGGGTAGAGAGGACAGGCTTTTAAA